TAAAATTACCTTGCAAAATATATCACTACATCGCTGATTTTAGCCTTATACCCACAGTTGTAGAAGTTGTTGAGTAACCAGAGCATTTACAGGGCACTTGAATCAATTGTCTTGGTGGTGCTTTGAATATTACTTTATAAAAATATTTCATATGTGTACTGTCAATTGAGTACAACCACATACATATAAATATAGGACATATTATATAACCTCTTTTTCTTTTCGGTCTTGAAAAGTGTAGTATTTAGTAAATGTTCTGAAAAATAGGTAGGCTTTAAAATTCATATTTTTATAATTATTTAAGAAATTATAAATATTCCACATTAATTTAGAAATTATATAATGAATGAATAATTACTTTACCTCTTACTGTTTACATAATCCTCTCTGAAATATTTAATGAGACCTTCATTTTCGAATTTTGGATCATCTATATTGGGTCTAGTGCCATGATATCACTTTGCTGGCAGGTTTTATTATGGGTGCCCTGAATCTGGTCACAGATTGGTTATCCCATACTGAGAGGGTAGTCTTTGGATCCTCTCATTTTTTATGAGTTATGTGCACTTTGGGTGTCCTTGCTTTTGAGGCCATTGCCTCTCATCTCGATAAATATCTTCTGTGTTTTTGGGCTCCTGTTCCTCATCCATTAGTGGGAGCAGTGGATGCTCTCATTCAGAACTGGACAAGTTGTTACCTCTATGCATATCCTCTTCCTGATCTTCTTCTGACCCAGCATGGCCAGATGGTTATGGCTCTTTACTCTCACATCTCAGGGTCTCATGTTCGAATCCCCGTCCCACCAAATATGCTTGACATTTCATCCATCGGGGTATTATAATGTGATAGCCAATCCCACTATTTCTTGGTAAAAGAGTAGCCCAGGAGTTGGTGGTGGGTAGGGGTGGCTAGTGTAGATAGCCCTCATCTATCTTTATGCAGAATTCAAAACAAACCAAGTCATTCAGCTTCTTCTTTGTGTCCTATCAATAGTTCAGACCACTCAGTGTCGAGTTCTGCTGGTGGCACCATATTGACCAGCTCTAACATGGTTTCCACTTCTGCTTTTGTTTCTCACACTCCTTCATGTCCCACACTCTGGTGTGCATCATTCATCCATGCACACACTTCATCTCCATGCATGGCTTTTGTCTGGTCCCTTGCCTGAAGGTCAGAACTTTCTAGACATTTAGTTTACTTTGTGTCCCATCCAGTTCATCCCTTCTCTTTGGTTGTTTACCAGTGTAGGTGGTATACTTAATGCTGTTGGTCTGTATGTTTAGGTTATTGTCCTTACCTTCCTATCATTCTTCTATCACCATCCTTTTCCACTTGGCTTTGTGACTGGGACTTGTTGGTTTCCTTTGTTACAGGTTATAGGGCAGTTTTGTCTTTCACTTTTCGGTTTACCAAATTTGCTTCTGTGTTCCAATATCATGTACTGTCTATGTTCTATACTGTAGAAATTTTGGGTGGTTCTGTTTCTACTTTTAAAACTTAAATAACTTTAAGTGCAGACATTGAAAGGCAGTAGGAGGTGAGACGTTGTGGGTTTAAGCACTCACCAACACACTCTTGTTTTGATTTTCCATGATGGTCAACTTGCTTAACTTTGGCGTTTTGGATTTTGCTTGATAGATGGGATACCCCCTATGCTTTTTGGGTGTTATTACCACAAGCTTTATCCATTTATGACTATGGGTGACTTACTGGGAGCAAAAGTAGATGCATTAAATAATTATAAATTCTTTGTTGTTTAATAGTGCTGATCTAAATTGCCTATTAACAATAATTGTAATTCATAATCACTGAGCTGTTTATCTATCTATAGTCTCTCTGGCTGAGATATTCCTCATTCCTACCATTTTCTGCATGTTGGTTCCCAGTTGGGTCAGGTGTTGGTTTGGAACGGTCCAGCCTCATAAGTCCTCATGTGTTTGGCTGGTACTCTCCTCCTACCATGGACTGGATGATAAATTTCCAATGCTGCCAGGTTTTGAACTGGATATGTAACTCCAAACTGTGGTCCCTCTTCATTTTCCTCCTCTCTACTGGGTGTTGGTTCCTGGTAGATCTGGTGTTATTTGAAGTTGGATGACACACATGATTACCCGCATGTGTAAGACTGGCTTTCCTGTTCCTACTGTGGACTGGACATAATGTTCCCATTGTCACAAGGTTTTGGACTGGAGATCAATGCCTCCTGAGCTCTCCTTACTTTCTACAATATGCTGGATGTTGGTTCCCTATGGATCCGGTGTTGGTTGTGTTGGAGGTGTGCACATGTGGAGTCAGGTTTTTGGTATGGACATTCATATTCTTGTCCAGTACCTGTTTTTGAGGTGAAAGGTAGTGGGCCCTCTTCGTACAGTGGACATGATGTACAATTCCAGATGCCACCTGGTGTTGGTGGAGGTAACTCCCATTTATGGTCTGTCACAGCCTAGCCACTTGACACTAGAGGTTCCTTTCCAGCTGAACGTTTTTGTGGCCCTTCCATGTTTCCACACTTCAGGTTTTGGCAACACATTCCTGAAGGGTGAAGAGTATACCTGGCTAAGAAGTGGTGTGGTCTCATTGGTGAGATATTTCATTCCTTACCACACCTCATGGTCTGTCTTTTGGGGCTTTCTCAAGGAGGATCATATTCTCACTGGCTCTTCACCAGTTCAGTGTGGGATTCTATGATACTGGAAGTTAACATGTTCCTAAACTGAAAATGTATTTCCAATATATATATACTTACTTCCTTTCACATTTCTCACCCATCCTTCCCCGCTTCTGGTGTGATTTGATTCAGTTAGTTATGACCAATCTTGAAGTGATTAACAAGTGTATGATTAGAGAGGCTGCTTGTTATGATAGGGGTAATGCTGCATTCCCATTGGTGGAGGGTTGCTGCATGATCATTTGCATGTTGAAATGCAGAAAGATGTGGGAGTTGCAAGGCCAGTGGTGAGTGAAAAATTTGCACCGATAGAGAAAGCTTTTTGTGAGGGGTGAGTGGGTGGGGGTTAGTACTGATCAGAAATACATTTGCAGTTTTGGAAATATTGGCTAGAACATCAATTGAAAATTTTGTGAGGGGTGAGTGGGTGGGGGTTAGTACCGATCAGAAATACATTTGCAGTTTTGGAAATATTGGCTAGAACATCAATTGAATCGGTTCTCGGATTCAACCATTCAGCACCCTAAAGAAAATATACACATTGTGTTTATACGTCTTTCATATAAATAGACATTTTTTTTTGTTGTGTTACACATCATATCCACTCTATTTATTTTTTTGCTATAATTAGGTTAGTTTTAGTTAAATGCAATATTACTTCACTATATACATCCTGTTGATAATCTCATTATAAAGAAAACCTCTCTAACTTACTTTTTTGGGAAATACTCTTTTGAGAAATCATTTTCTCTAGAAAATACCACATGTATAATAATTTTAATCCATTTTATATTCATACGTATATTATTTTTTATATATTAAGTTATATTCTTTGCTCATTCAAACAGTTACTTAGGTCAGTATGACCTAATGTAAACAAGATCTAACACATCATTCTTGCTTGCCAGAATGAAACTTGATGTGATCAAGTGAAAAATGATTTAACTAAGTATGTTTCATCTTGTTCCACAAAAATCATTTGTTTTTCTATTGTACATCAACATTTTAATTTAGATGAAGTACAAAATAATAAAGTATGCTTTTTACAGGCTTTAAAAAATTGTAAACTGTAATTGTGGAAGAAATTGTTCACAAACATTTGTTCTTCTAGCAACATATCACAAGATGAGCTGTTATCACTTTGTTACAATCTCTTTCATAATCTTCAGTGAACTGAAAGCCATTTTACAATTGAAAATTGTGGAACAAATGTTGATGACACTATCTTATGACTTATCAAAGCTGAGATGTAGGCTATTACATTGCACATGATAATCGAAGTTGAGAATCAGTGATTAGCTAAAAATTGATAAAACTGCATTTTTATGCAAGTTACAATTATGTATTAGTGATATTTTGTTAAAAATTATTATGACTTTCCTCTGAGGGAGCTATGAAAGCTATATTTATATTCAGAAAAAGTTTGGGAAATTTACAAATACTAAGAATTTTGTTAGGAGAGCATGGAAATCAACCCAAGATCAAAATTATAATTTTTTTTATTTCTATGCATATTATTAAATAAATAAAACCTTTTTTTATAGAATAAGTTTCAACTCTGAAATATTTTTTAATGTGTCAAAAATTTACTGCTAATATATTTTATATTAGTTTTGTAATTCAACGATGCATTTTTGTCCTTGAGGAAAACTGCACCCACCTAAGCATGAAAGAATTATAATACTAATGGGTCAGGTTAATGTAAATATAAGGATTCATGGTTTATGTCCCATTACTGCCAAAACATTGCCTGCACTATGGGGTTGAAGATGCACAAATCATAATATTTGGTCAGAAATGTGTAATTCTAGAGATGGACTAGCTGTCTCCCCTCTGGTCTTTAATTCATGTTAGAGATATTCATTTATAGATATTCTTTGAAAACAAATCCTAAAGTAAATTTAAAAAACTGCAAAGAATGAAAAGTAATGTGGAACTTTAACCTTTATCATCTGCTACAAAAATAATAGATTTTGTATTATTAAGTATTTTTTAATTTAGAAGGTATTATTCTACACATTATTTTCTTTAGAAAATTCATTTTTTCATTTGGTATGTTAAGTGTTATCTCATATTGTACCTCATGAGTTTTAATTATACTTTTTTGGCATTAAAAATGCTTCAGTCAGTGCTTACACATAAAATATTGACTAAATTTCATTACATTGACTTTCAGCTGTCAAAATGTTATATTTTCATTAATTTAAATGTAGTTTTTTATTGTTGAGATATTTCCAATTTTAGTGTTCATTCTGTATATTTACAACTCTTTATGCCTTGTAAGTTTAGGTGCACATCCTAAAGACCCTCAAATTTTCTATACTTTATGTAGAAAGAATACTATGCAACACACCAGTACTTCCTGTCTAAACGTTCTCTATATTTAGTGGTCTGGAGGATCACTGATGGAGAGTGTGGAGTTAAAGAAATTCTTCAATGGCTGGTTAACATTCAGGTGAGATATTCAAAGGTTGAAATTAATAATTTTCCTTTTAACTTTAGAGGATCAGCAAGGGAGACTTAAGTTGAAGAAATTCTTCAGTAACTGGTTATAAAATCATGTTGAAATATCTAGAGTTTTAAAATCTTTCAGTTTTTATTTACTGTATGATCTGAAGAAAAATGGATGTTGAATGTGAGAATCATTTTCTTACTAAGTATTTATGTAATATAAAGGATACATTTTATTGTCAAGATGCCCATTTTATGTTGTTTATTGGTAAGCTTGTAAGTACTAGCTTCTAAAAAAAATGTACATGATAAATTATCTAAAGCCAAATGAAGAATTCTGTTTTAGATGAAACAAAGTATGAATGTTACAGTTATTTGATGAGAAGTTGTGGGTGTTGGGAGATACTGGAAGTGGTTGGAGAGCTATAGTTACATTTCATGGAAACTCAGAGAAAGGACAAAGGATCATTAAGTAAGCCAATTATTAGTATTCTCAACCTGTTGGGAATAAATTTATTATCCAAACTTGATTCCTGAGTTAAACAACATTGAAATATTGCATCAAATTAGAGTCAAATTTTGGTGTTTTTTGGAAGAATAAGTGTCTTGTGTATCAAGTAAAATATGAATGACATGGTCAAATTGGATCATAAAAGTATAAAATATATGTATATATTATATATATCAAAATCAGGTAGTCTTACCTTTAAAATACTGTCAGCCTTTTCTTGTTGGGGTTGCATTTATGCTGTCAATAACAAGTGTGACTCAAAAATATTGAATGGCCTTTATACATTGTAGAGCATGTGTAACTTATCCAAAGAACTCATTTGGAGACCTTACTCATTCAATCTGCTTGTAGCATACAAGGTGGTTCCATGGGTAAATTATCAGCCTTGCTTGATCATTGTATTCCAGCTATTAATGAAGCCTTTCCTTGTTGAGATTGCACTTATGTTGTCAATATAAAATGTGACTCGAAAATATTGAATGGCCTTTACACATTGTATTGCATATGTAACTTATCCAAAGAACTCCTTTGGATACCTTACTCATGCAGTTTGCCTGTAGTATACAGAGTGATTCCAGGGGTGGTATTCTACACTCTAAATGTTAATTTTCATCATCATAATATGGAAAACTTGCCTCATTCCTGCTCAATCATCACTTGAATTACTGCTTCATACTTACTTAACTTCCTGTCTGGGATGGTGTACCTACAAGTCCTAGTCTTAACTTGTACCTACTCAATGGCTGGTGCATCTGAGATTTTCTATAAAATTTTACAAGGAATCCTTCACCTGTCTCCTTTGGCTTGACAATCCCCATGTCTAGGTTGTGTCTACTTCTGTTCTTTCATCTATTTTACTAAGATGTTCTCTCTATTTTGGTAATGATATCTTCTACATGATATGATTTCCTTGGTTTGTGTTTACATGTAAAACTTTCAATGGGATCTTTCTCCTTAGCAGTGTCTATTTTATACTTCTTTTTTGCATATAATTTCAGTGTTTGGTTGAATTGAGAGATTACCATTACAGATTTTCCCCTATGCTTCCACCTCATCTGGTTTGGTTTGAATTTTGCACAAATTTACATGAGGGTTATCTGTGCTGCTGTCCCTAGAGAAGGCAGCTAGACATCATCACCCACCATCAACTCTTGGGCTATTTTTTACCAACTAATAGTAAGGTTGACTGTCACATTATAATGCTCCCATGACTGAAAGGGCAAGCATGTTTGATTGGATTGGAATACCTCATCTGGATCTGTATTTTTAACAGTGCTTCTCTCAATTTATTGTGGTGCTGTGTTGGGAAAGTGCCATCTTTCATGTCTCTGTTTTCTGAAAAAAACAATTTCTCACATCAATATTTTTGAGCTTTAGCTTGCATACCTAATGTTCTTACCCTTGTTTCATCACCAGTATGTTTTTATTTCACACAGAAAATTCTCTTGTGGTGGCAGTTATCCACACTTAGGGTGGAATTCGATCTTACAACTTTTGTTTTGCTTTGGCTACATTCCCATCACATTTATTTCTGAGCTTGTCATGTGCAAGGTGTGATGAACATGCAGATTCAGTTTCTACAGATTGCCACTTTTTTCAACAGAGTGGAATTTTCAGTATATTGGTGGTTGTGCCTTTTGTTCACTCATCCTATAATTGATGCATTTGAAACAGCAGTCAATTATCTTCTTCATCTTTACTGGTTCCTAATTACAGATCACACTTCTCTAATCGTGGATGCTTTAAGCTAGACTTAGGTGAGCAGTTTTTTGTTTTTTTTGTATACCTTCTTACATCCAGGCTCTCCAGCATTCCTAGTATTTTCTAGTTTTTCCTAGTTTTTTGAATTGGTTCCTAGTTTTTCCTAGTTTTTACAAAAAACTCCTAGTATTCCTAGTTTTTTTTTTAAATTGAAGAAGTATTTTTCTCATGATCACATGTTGCAG